AAAGAACATAGATTAGTATATACCTTAACGTTACCAGCAACCTTGATGGCCTCCAAGATTTTGAGCTGCTCGAAAACTTGAGGATACGGCAACACAGAGATCACAACATCAACTTCCCTAAGCACCGAGACGAGCTTTTCATGATCGCCTATTTCTACCTGAAAAACGACAATAAAATGAACAAATGTGTAAAAAAAAAAAAAACATCAAAAAAAGCGAACAAGATCATACTTTGACTATAATGGCTCCCATGGATTGAAGCTCGTCGATGGTCTCTGTCTTATTCGTATTAGGCCTTGAGAAGACATAAGTTGTGTGTCCTAATTTGATGCTTGCTTTCACTATGTGATTTCCTATGTAACCCGTCCCTCCAAATACTAGGATTTTGCTTTCATCTTTCTCCATTTCTATTAAACTTCTACTCCTTTTCTTGGTTCTTTTCACTATAAAGGGATCTTGATAAGTGAGAGAAGTGAATTCTCGTATCTTATGTTCGAACTCGTGCTCGAGCTCGAGCTCGGCTATGACTGAAAGAGATAGATTTAGACTGGTCGAGTTGTTTAGATGTGGGCTCTAGCATTATGTTAAAGATTCCTCTATATAGGTGCCAATTGGTCCTAACATGTACTTTTTAAATCTGCATACATGTAAGCCATTGGTTTGAGGATAAACAATGGCTTGTCGTGTCTCATGCTCCTTATTTTGTTTATTTATTTTTTTATTTGGGCTGATTAGGACTTTAATAATTCATATAGTTTTGGCACATATCTTCATTCCCAACAAAATGCACTGACCTACAGCTGCCAAACTATTATTGTGAAGATAATAGGTGGTATGGCTAAGTAGGTAATTTTTCTTTTACAAAACTTTTATAATCAATAGTGTTCATGTGACTTTCAGAGATCAGATACCTCTTCATGCGGGTGAATTGCGGTTTATTTCATTCGTATCCGAGTGGTAGGATCTACTCATATGTTAGTGGGAAAAATCGACCATTTCAGGCGTGCCTGCAGTCTGCAGCCGAAGACCAATTGATGCTCCAGTCATTTTTAAAGTTATGCTTATCTCTACAATTAGTTGTAATAATATACCTGCTGCTGCTTTTCGTATGGGTTTAGATTTCCTGCTCCACTTTCATGTTTCATTTCGTGTTCCATTTCGGATGACTGACACGTGTACAAATATGACATCATCATTTACACGTGTCATTCATCCAATGGAGTGAGAACACGTTTGTGGAGCAAGAATCTCATTCTTTTTCTTATTCGAGAGTGAATCACTTTTCTCCGTTTCTACTTGTTCCCTCAGAGGTAGCGTGACCCATTTAATGAAATCAGCAAAGAAAACTAAAGATGAGACTAATTTTATCCCATATAGCATCTCAAAATGTCAAATATCACATAACAATAGCCTTCAGGAACAAGCGTCTCCAGTTAGGTGACTTTTATTTCAGAATGCTGTCAAAAGCTTCAATCCTAGTAATGTGTAAACTGTATATGTGGTTAGGAACATACAAAATTCTACTAGCTTCTACGGCACATAACAGCTAAACATAACTGCAAATTCGAGTTTTTCAGCTGTCATGAGAATTTATGCAACTAAGAGAGGGTAATAGCTTTATCATTCAAGAGCCTGAACAATGCTAACATAACTGCAGATTTCATATACTCACGGCCCAAGTAATTCATCCTTGCAATTTACAGCGTTTCTAGTCAGTATCATACAAGGGGATCACGATTATCCGACTCAGAAAATCACATACATTTAGCCCATCAGCTTTCAGCTTTTGTTCAATATAAGACGCCACATCACAAAATGCAAATCAGCCAAAGGTTTTGTCCAAATTTACTTCCAGGCAAAACTGACCTTGCCAGCTGAAAAAGTATCTACACTCAATATTGCATCAAATCAAATTCGGCAAAAAGACCAAAACAATGTCCTTTGTTTTCTTAAATGAAAATGCTATTTACTTAACAAAAAGCTGAAACACGCACGGTGGTAACCTAAAAAACTTCAAACTTTCTACTCGTCTTATTAATAGTTGAAACGATTGCAATGTAAAAATATGTCGACCAACATGATTTACTCTATCATCCCTCGAACCCCCCCCCCCCCC